TATCATTTTTATTATCATCGCTATCGTCATTATCATTAGTTACTTAACATAAGATGATGACAATGAAACTGGAAGAAAAACTGGATGTCAGAATGTTTTTTATTAAAGGGTCTTCGGTCTCCGGTATAAAGAGTAGAAAGTTACATAGTCACAGAGAACCACTGAGTGGAGGAGGGAGTACTGACGCACATCACAGTGTGAAGTACGCCCATTCGAACATCTGATGCATAGCCTACTCCATACATCTTGCACATGTTTCACTGTTAGCATTTGTTCCCGATAGGATGAGAGACTAAATTTAGCATTTATTTCTTATATGGAGTATTCTTTAGAAAAGCCTAGCTCCCCTGGTTCAGTCAAGAAAACTCAGAGAACAAATAAGGAAAGAAATGCAAATAAAGTAGGGATAAGGAGTAAAATGGTATTGATTCTTTGTTTGACTTGATCCTCTACCAGATATGAGAACTTTACAGACATAAGAAGAGATCCCAAGTAGGCACTGGAAACAGAACCAGGATGTAGACCACGTGGAAAATTCCCTGACAGTGGCAGTACAGCTTAATGAATTTTGTAAATTGGCATCCCAGTTGAGCACAAAGAAGGGCTTTATTTAATGTATTCATTCATTTCCCAGTAAACAAGGCTGATAGATACAAAAGCCTGTTACTCTATTTGTAGCTTCTATTTAGCTATGATTGTGCCCTTTGTCATTCTACTCTAGAAAGAACCAGATGACTTGAAATGCTTCACTTGAATATTATGTTCTGTGTTGGGTCCATAGAGCTTATTCTTTGTGGTGTGACTCTTGCAGACTTCTGTTGAGATTGCCAGCTTTCCAGCTGCTCTCCCATGGGTTTATATTCTTTTATTGTTTTATTATTTTTTAGTTTTTTTCTAGTTGCAGCTGGTATTGTGTGACATTCCTTGCTAGTAGGCTCCTTTGCTACATACATTTTGTTTTGTTTTGTAGACCGAGTCTTGTTGTGTAGTCCAGGCACTGTGTAGCCCAGACTGGCCTTGTACTTGAGGCAGTCCTCCTGTCTCAGCCTCCTGAGTGTTGAGATTGCAGATATGCACCACTTCTCCTGGCTTAGTATTATGATTATTTATTTATTTAGGTACTGGAAATTAAACTGAGAACCTTGTGCTTGCTGGGCAGGTGCTGTGCCTTTGAGCTATATCCCTCGCATGATCCTTACTCTTACATCATTTTTAGTTAGTTGTGTTCATTTCAGTATTTAATGTGGATTCATGCCTTAAACCTTCCAATATCTCTTTGAAGTATTGTTACTTAATGTGATGTAGTAATTATCAGAGTTAAGAGAGTAACATATCATATAGCCATTTGCACATGTTTCACTGTTAGCATTTGTTCCCGATAGGATGAGAGACTAAATTTAGCATTTATTTCTTATATGGGGTATTCTTTAGACAAGCCTAGCTCCCTTGGTCCAGTCAGGAAAACTCAGAGAACAAATAAGGAAGGAAATGCAAATAAAGTAGGAACAAGGAGTACAAAACTTGTGCTTTTCTCACTACAGTGCATTCTGGAAAAGTTGAAATGCTTTCCAATTTACTGTTTCCTGAAGATGCTTTTCAAATTTTGTAACTTTGTTATATCATTTCTTTGTAATTAGTCATAATTTCCACATGCAAATAATCTTCTGTGTCTCATGAATGGAGAAGTGGGCTGTGTCTGAAAGATGTAAAGCAGAATCTGGATGATGAATTCAGAAAAGAATGGAATGGGGCATCTGAAGGTGCTATGTTAAGAATGAGTTAATAAGCTGAGAAAATGCTGAAAGCATTTTCATGTGTCTTGCTCCCAAATTAGAGCATCTAGTCAGTGTTTCATCGTGATGTATCTTTCCATTTGAATAATAGGGGAAGAGGCTTCTATAGAAACATGAAGGAGGTAGTAGGCCCACTTGGAGCTTCTCCCTTAATCTTATGTAACACCGGAAATAAACCTGGGTATTAGAAGGCCAGTGAGATAGATTGCTCAGCGGACTAAGCGCCTGCCTAGGCAAGCACAGGAACCTGGGTTTGGTCCCTGGTACCACCTGCTGTGCTGGCCCTGCCCTGTGGCACCCTCCCCACCCACTCTGAGCCAGCTGAGACGGGCGTGGTGGTGAGTGCTTGTAATCCTGGCGCTAGGGAGGTTGAAAACAGGATCACTAGGCGTCTGAGCTGACTAGTGAGACCCTGTACCAACTACATTAAAAAACAGACAAACCACTGGGTATTAATGTTCTAACATGATTTCCTGGGAAGTCAGATCTGTCTGTCATTAAAAACATCATTCTGTGTTCCAGTGGACATGATGCTGAAAGTCAGCAGGGATTCTTTCCCAGCCTCTAGAGAAAGATTATGAGTCCTTTTCAGTGACTATATGTTAATTCCTGATTATACTGCCCTTATAATTGGAGGGTCCACAGTTACTTTTAGCAAGTTTTCAACATTAAATCTCTGAAGACTGAATTGGCCCTTCTGCAAAAAACACTGCAGATGTGTGTGTGTGTG